AAATGAGAAATACTTCGTATATACTATCCTCAGCGTCACCAGGAGACTCGCTCTCGACATCTCAGAAACGTCCTCCTCCATTCGCTCGTTTCTTCGCCTCCTTTCTTCATCGGCCGCGCCGTGAGAAAAGTCCGTCCTCCCTCGATCGACGTCGGTTCGCCCCTCGACTCCTTGCCCTCAAGTCCACCCCACCCCACCCTCTGGTTGCAAAAGTGCAACAGGACGATCGAGAGAAGTCGTCGTATCGGGAGAGAGGAGAGCGGTCCCGCAATGGCAATGCGGGCGACCGGTCGGCTCCGGCTACCAGTTTTTGCGACGGTCTCGCGAGGCCCCGTACACACGCAGACACACCGCACGCACGCTCCGTATGCGTGTACGCATGCATCACACAGCGGAGCGCGTCTACACGCGACGCATTACGTATGCACGCCGTCGTCGCGGGATGCACCGCTCGCGCGGACTGTCGCGCTCTCTCGCGCTCGTTGCACGCATCATGTACGGACGCACGCACGCACGCATGCACGCACGCATGCACGGACGTATGTGCGTCAGTAGTGACGCGATGCAGTGAGTGCATTCACGGTGAGAGCGCGGTTGCATTGGCGGGTACGGCCAGCCAATCGGGTTATCGAGCGACGAATTCACCCCTCCAGACCGCCGAGTCGGGCTTCTTTGAGGCGGGCAGTTTGCTTTAAGGATCTCCGCGGCGATTTTTTTTTGCATCTTCTTGTTCCCTCTCCTTCTTCACTTCTTCTTCTTCTTCTCCTCCGTCTTCTCATCCTCCGGTCTCTCTCTTCATGTCCCTCTGTCTGTCCGGCCGCTTGCGCTTCTTCGCCGCCGTTGCTTCCTTGTCCCGCGACTCGTGGGGTCTGCTTCAGGAGATGCAGCTGCTCTGCCGGCCGGGGATCAAACGGGTCGGAAGGTAGCGAAGGGAGTGCTAACAGGGTCGAAGGGGCTAAAAATTACTACGAGAAAATTCCTCCTAGAAACATACCTTTTTACGTGCCAGGAACAAACAGGCGAGTAATTTATTCCGCTAAGTGTGGGGGACGCGATTCGCGTTTTGAAAGGTCACGATTGCTGCACGCGGAGAAGTGAAAAGAACGGGTGCATTGTTACCGCGATTTCTTCCTTTTCGCTTGTCTTGGAGAGAAGTTATCTATTAATTACGAATATATTAGACGTATCGTGACTAACAGATCGCCCTCGTCTTATTACGAGACGTGTATCACGGTAGCCGAATCGAAGGTATCTCTCGCGTGATGTTCGCAGACGTCGATCACGCCCAGCACGTGGAATACTAACGCGTGCGGGTGTATATCAACAAACTATCGCGCATTTGACTTACAAATGATCCCTGATTACCAGCCGTGCGCTCACTCACCCTTGATATCACGCCGCTCCGAGGGGCGTTTATCGCGTTTATCGCCGCATTCGCGCGCACTCTTCGTGCGCGAACGATCTTCCTCCGGTGGATACCGCGAAGCATCGATTCCATCGAAAGCGCAGAGGCCGCCGGTGCCACTGATTAATATGCCGCGCAAACGCGAACAACCGCGTGCGCGCGGTACCGCCCGGCTGGAAAAGTGCACGCGCAACGATACACGGGCACCGCCGGCGAGAGATTAATTAGCCACCGAACGAAAAAGGGAGAAGAAGAGGGCCCGAGATGATTGCCGGCGATTGGCTGAACGGAACCAGGAGGAATTTAATAAGGCCCCCACTCGGCGGCATCTCTGAGCGCGCGGACTCTCTTCCTCGCGCTATCGACGGTTCCCACGTGCACTCGCATTATTCACGGCGAATGCATAATAAATGCATCGCGAATACGCGACCGTCTGCCCGCAGACACGATTTGATCTCAAGCGCGCGAGTGCAAACGCACGCACGCACGCACGCACGCACGCACGCACGCACGCACGCACGCACGCATGCACCCATGCACGCATGCACGCACGCACCGAAAAGCCGGACACAAGTGAAACCTCTCGATGCCTGGGGAGCTCACGCGGCGACCGAAACAGAATATCCGCGGTATTACCATAGTTAATCACCAGGACTCTCGTTACTCATTAAACGATCATTTCGCGGCGCATCGTACGCGAGCAAGCGCGCCGTGCGATACTGCGCGATGCCGCACGCCAATTAGAGTGGTTGAACGATAGTGTTTTTCCAAGAACGCGGTTTACTCGCTACGCTACCGAAGGGAAAAGCGGGGAAACACCGACGCCTTCGATTAACATTCATTTTAATAATTAGCTTATTTTTAACCCGAGGCGCGCATCGGGTATGTCGAAGACGTAGAAGCGAGGAATGTGTGATTCTTTTACCTCATTGCAGTCAGAATAAAATTCGCAACTGGCGTTGTGTATCGTTTTGGTAGTATAATCTGCGGACGAATTTTGAGAATTTCTTCACAATAGGAACAATATCGTTGCGTATCGCCGATCATCCATCTTCATTCTGTACTGTGTACGTACTGTGTCGTACATACTTCTGTCATCTTGCTGTTAATAGGCCCCGATTTCTCAGCAGGAAGTCCCATTACGGCTATCAAGATTGAAATTCCAAATATCCGCCGAATTATCATAGCTAATTGCTCGCCGGTAATAAGTGCAATTCTCATTACTTGTTAATAGTTGCTTTGATCTCCACTGTTGCGCTGCCGGATACATACTTGCCAATTAGACTAGTGAATGTTAAACGTTTCTGACTTTTCACAAACACGGTACACTTCCTGTTTCGTCCGGGGGAATGATCAAGCGTTTCCTGCTGTATCGTTGATCGACAATATGTTCGGATATTACTGATACGCAAGTGAATTAATAGGATACGAGTAAAATACGCGCGGCGTCAGTTTGCAATTGTCAAAATAATGAAGTCACTCGAAATCAAAAGAGCAAATTGAAGGAATATCGAAGCGAAATCTCCGATCTTCAATACAAATCGCGCTTCCCCTATATTCGGTGATCATGCGCGGGTCGCTCGACATAATCCAATGAAAAAAATTTCATAACGGTAGAGAGAGAGTAGCGCGCGCGTAGCGAGCCGTCGCGTCGTGTAGCCCTTTTCGACGCGAAGTCGCTAAGCGTCGTTGGAGCGCAACCGTGTGCAGAGGGGTTCCTCGAAAAAAAGTTTAAAATGTTTGAGGAAGGGGTGGTCGGAGACTGCGTCCCTGTGCATGCTCTCTCTTTGCCGTGTCACCCAGAGGTACCAGCGGCAGGGGTTGCGCTTCTGCGGATCCTTTGGAAACGCGTGCTACGTCCGCGTGCCACGCACGTACGCGTTGCGTCTGCGTTTGTGTGTGGATCTCACGCACTCACGCACGCGCTCGAGGGTCTTTGGGCTCGTGTCTCCCGCACAGGCGAGAGGAGCGTTTAGGCGCGCGGTAGACGCAGATGCTGCGGCAGGAGCCGCCAGCCGGTGCCTGAAGGGGAGGCAGGAGGGACGAACGGAATGGATGGGTAGAGACGCCGGCGACGTGTGTCTGCCATTGTAATTTTAAAATCGGTACCCCGACCGCGCCGTCCGCTTCTGCCCCTCGTTAAAACTCCACCTATTACGGGGAGCTTCGAGATTTTCACCCTTTTGGAGTGGCCGCGTCGGTGACGACACGGATTTGCTCGCAACGAACCACCGGCTCACGTACATTCTCTCGATCCGCTCGGGTGCAATAGAAAGATTAACGGTGTGACTTAATCTTTGGATTATAACACGCGGCTTTACCCGAGAAATAATCTGCTCTTCTGTTTGGGGACGAAATAACACTTCTTTGAAGTATTATTTAAAGTACACGTGCATATGTAAATTTCCTTTACTCAATCGTGTTGGTAAAACAGCTAGGAAGCCGTCGTCTTCTTCACTTATGCGTTTTTCCTTTGGACTGTGATGAGATAGCGAGGAAGCGCGCGTTTCTGGAAACTCGCTTTTGTGAGTCTGTTTGAACGGGTCTTCGACGTGGTACATAGAGGGGTGCCGAAACGCTGTGTCGTTTACGATCTACGAGTTACGACATTCAGCTGTGCTCACAGTGTCCTGCGATACACGTTTCTGCCTGGAAAGGTGAACGAAGGCACTCTTCCTTCTTTTCTTTTTTACGTAAAAATATAGTTAAAAATTTTATCGTGATAATAGTTTTCTTGTGTATTGGTCGCTGCCTAAAACACGTAACCAATTTCTCCTCAGCTTCTACGCCTTTGGTTCTGTTTCCTATCAATCATAGCAAGTGGTTGTGCGGTTCCACCCCTTCGACTGTAAACCCTCGTCCAAAATGGCGGCTCGTTTCGCGGGTTACATGCAGATTGGTTGGGTGTCGGTAGAAAGGAGTTATGCCGAAGGGTGGTTATCCGACATCCCTTGCTCGCGGGGCGGATTCGCGCTTGCGCTCACAACCCTTGCCGCGTTTCTACAGCCATCCCTTCTACTTCGCCGAGTCTCTTTATTATTCACGTTTTTTATTGAGCAAGGCGAGGCTAGATAGCTCGCATAGCATGATGGCGATTGGTGAAGAGAAATAGGTATCGATAATAAAACTTTATTTTCTTCACTTGAAATCAATGGAGCGGAATTATAATTTGGTATCTGGTTCACAAAAATCTCAATATCAATCAGTGAAAATCAATCATTGAAATCAATTGTAAGAAAATTTCTCTTGAGAATAGTGATTAATTAAATTAATTAAATTGAGCGTTAAAAAAGGGAAGTTGATTCTAAATCAAGCGAATGTGTCGTTACGTTCAGCATAGGTGTGAATTTTGGGACCTTTAAAAGCTTATGCCAGTGTTAAGATACCCAGAATGCGGAGACAGGGGTGGCTTTATCGATCGTTGTTCCGACAAGGGCAGCAAGAAATAGGGAAACTCTCGACGAACGCTGATCCTTTGTCTTTCTCCCTCGCGAGCATCGTTGAGTTTCCACCAAACCCGAGAAAACGGCGAGGAATTAAAAGAGTAATTCAACAAAAGGAAGTAATCGTGCACTACACAAAATACTAAAGGTTATTATTATAGTATTGCTTATATTATATCATATTATTATCTTTAAAATAATCATTAACAATATTACAGTTTATAAAAGTTACATTTATGTATGTGTGCCGTTAAGTTTTTTTCCGCTGGACTTAGTCTCCGGAAAGTACCGATATATAGTTTCTAGAATACTAACATATGACTATTGATATTTTAATCTAAGATAGTAAAGCGATTAAGTCAATATATACGTATAGATAAGTTCTCATTTTAGTTCCGAAATAGATAATATAAATTTTCTGTTATATATATATATATATATATATATATATATATATAAGATGATAAGATAATAAGATAATAAGAATAAGATAATAAGATAATAAGATAATAAGAATAAGATAATAAGATAATAAGATAATAAGATAATAAGATAATAAGAAAAGTTGTACTTTAGATGTGTCGTATTTCTTCAAGCAAAATTATGTTGCAATAATATATAACATATATTATTAATATGAAAAGCAATTAAACCGTGATGACGGTGGAAGCGATCGTCATGTTTTGGTAATCGATATCATTGTTTTATTATTCCCGATAATGTTTAATCAGAAGACGATTGAATTGAGTTCGTTTGCCTTTGCACATAATATACTTCTTCGATGAAATGCATCGAGGGATGTATTATTGACAAATATTGGTTAACTATTTGTTATTCTACTGTTGTTTCTCTTTATTAGATTTCTTATCAATCGAACTTTGGGATTAATGAGTAATGTAGGAATATTCTCATTTATTTATTTCATTCCTTAGTGTTGTATTTGATCTTTTGAGAGACCATTCTAAAAACGATTATTAAGAACGGAATTTGGACTTTGGACTGTCGTGCATTTATACGTCCAAATTATGTACGTCAATATAAATGCCCATCGCAACAGTTGATAACTGTTGCAACTGTTTAGAGTATAAGTTGAAGGAATTTTGAGGTTTATATGTGTCCATAATCTACGCCGAACATTTTTTGGATGCATACGTGTATCCACAGCATTTAAAAGTATATATTCACAGCATTTAATTATATTTAGCATTGTACACGAAGTAACCTGAAACAATGACTAGTTTTTTATATTGATCTTATAAAATCTTACACAACATATAAAGTTAAAAATATAAAGTTAAAAATGAAAATTCGTGATCTCTAAAATGCATACACACACACACACACACACATCGGAAAATTAAGATACATAAAATTCATCAAAACAAGATTACTGTATATCACCTTTAATTATCTTGAGAGCTTTCGAAATATTTTTTTTTTTTATTATTTTATTTTAAATAATGCACTTATATAATGATATGGAGAGCATGTCTGAGAGAAAGTGGCGTGATATGGATAATTACTTTTCTGTTATGCAACTTCCTATTGCAGCAGGAAAATCACGAAATCGGGAGAGGATGCGGGAACAAGATAATCGTGCAATTACCTCCGGCGTTTCGTCGCTACAAATCGGCCGGTCGATTTTAATCCGTACGCTCGAGCTGAAAATCGGAGACCCACGGACGGCCGGCGATTTATTTATTGGAGAAAGGGCTCCGGGCCGGCTTTCTCTCTCTCTCTCTCTCTCTCTCTCTCTCTCTCTCTCTCTCTCTCGTCTTGCTGTTCTCTCGACGCTTCTTCTGTCCTAAGCAGGATTCAATTTGGCCACTGCCCACGGTTCTACCTTCAAAGAGGAATCACCATTGCCGTCGTATATAGTCGAACGGCCCTCGACGTGCGGCGGGACCGGTCGGCGGCCTCTAGCATTAATCTTATATCGAGCGCTTTATCCGCGTTCGCTTCCTCGTCCCCCCTTTCTTCATCCGCCTGCCGCCCTCTTCCCCTCAGTCACCACCCTCCATCGTCGACCTCCTCAACCCTTGGACGAGCAGGAATTTTCAATTCTTTCGAGTGCCGCAGGGAAAGCGGTTTGCTTGGGGCATGTTGCTCTTCCGTGCTATCGGACGGTACCCGGAAGTTGGAATCAGCAGAGATGGTCTCGTCGTCGTCGTCGTCGTTACTAGAGAAGAAGGCAGGAATATGTGATTGGTTGGAAAAATTGGAGACATTAGAAAATATGCGCGATATTTTTTGAGAAAGATTCTATGACGTCTAAAGATGTTTATATCTATATATTGTTGGTACGCGCTTAAGTTTCAAGATGTGTAATATCAATTTAAATTCATGGATAATTTTTCATTTAATTTGTAAGGAGAGATAGAAAATATATCAAGGCAAACTGGACCGACAAATGAAATCGGGAACTTTAAAGCTGAGCGATTTCTTTACTAACTAAGTGAACCAGGTTCAATACACTACTCTATCTCCTTTATTAATGATTCTAATTGTCAAGGTAGCAATTTCTACAGCTTGATCTCTTACAAATTGAAATAATAGTAGTGGTCCGACTCTATATCCTCGTTCCCGAGACGTGCGATTAATCGCTCTCCGTAAATGGCGAAACGTGGAAACGAGCGGCTTCGTCCTCGCTGACCTCGCCGTAGTCGCGAACGCCGCTAGCAGGACATTGGCCAGGACGAATAAGTAATGTAGAGGTCCATTATGCTGAAACGGTGAAGGGTCTTCGGCCGGGGTCAGCCAATCCCCTGGAGGGCCGTTAAAGTGAAATACTCCCGAATGCAAGGTGGCCGCCCGTCTCGCCTCCTTCAACAGCCTTGCCATGGGGCTCACCTCGTCCCTCCTTACTCGCAACCCCGCCAGACGCACCCTCCTACTACCGGAACCCTACCCGCAGGAGTTCGCGTGTAGGTAAATCGTTGTTATCTGGACAGTGATAAACCCGTGAATGGAGTTCGCGCCGGGTTGGACGAATAGGGCGAGGGAAAATGCAAAGGACGAAGGGAAAAGGATCTCTGATGCGGGCGGCGTGGAAGGGAAAGGAGAAGGTGAATCGCGGAATGGATGGCTCTGTTTATGCGACTGGTTTTCGCTCGGACGTGGCGGCGACCCTCATTGGGCGAGAGAGAAAGAAACGACGCAAGGCTCGCGTCGATGAACAGACGAGACCGATGAACGAACCGTCTCTCTTGAGTTTCCGTATTGATTATATTCGTTTATTTTCTATACGTTCAAATTATAATTCATAAAGTAGTTATGTCGAGATATGTATATCTTTTCTTTCTATAATTTTAGATCGATTTTATATTGATCGAAACTTCCAGTTTAAAAAAAGATTAATTTCATATTAACCAAAAATTCCATTTAAGGAAACGACGATAATTCAATAATACTTTTTATAATTTCTTTATCGAGTAATATCAAAAGATATGCACGATACGATTTTTCCAAAAGCTCAGATAATTGAGTTCTCCGCAATCATGACTTTACATCAAACTCGCTCTTGCTTAAGGGTACTCTCGTTTGTCTCCGTGGAATTGAAAGAAACTAGGGGGCCATGCAAACACTACGAGATTAAAAAAGGCTCCATACCGTGGTTCGTATTTGAATTGTAGCCTCGAGCGAGATATCCTTGTGGAAGTGGCATCGAAGAGATTTTCAATATCCGTCGAAAGGTCTCACAGTATGAATAGCTGATAAATTCATTAATTTTGTTTCTTAGAGAGAGAAAGAGGGAAAAAGAGATCAAGTATTAAACACATAATTTTATTATAAAGTGATCAATAATAATAATTTAGTACTCCTTGATATTTATTATAAACTTAAATAATAACAAGTAAAAAAATTACGTTTTAAAAATCTGGTCATTTGCAATTAGACACTTTTAAACTCGTGACGGGAAAGGACCAAAGAAAAATCGAATCGTTCGTATTCGCGGTGGAAGCTCATTCGAAGCGCGGAATACCGGACAATGGTCGATCTAGCAGGGTGGATGGAGGTCAGCGGCCATTCTCTGATGATATTGATTAGCCGACGCCCTTAGTTAGCGCCGGCTACACTTTCTTCAGCCCCACCGCTTTTCCCGCCTCTCCTTTTCCTCTCGATAGGAAAAACGTTCTCTCTTTCTCTCGCGGAACCGCAGCCTCCAGTTACCACCCTCGGTCTGTCTTCGCTCCCCTCCTGCATCCCGCTGAATCCTCCCTCTCTCTCTCTCTCTCTCTCTCTCTCTCTCTCTCTCTCTCTCTCTCTCTCTCT